ATAAACATTTTTTGACAGATTTTCAAAACATAAAACTTGAAATTAATTATAGCTGGTTATAGAAAATGCAAGCCTAGTGGAAAGAAGAATTTTGTTTGAACAACTGGTTTAGTTTATTCGATTGACTACTCTCCAACGATTGGCGAATCGAAGACAGCTTATAATATTAGCTTTATAAACTTCTTTTTCTCATATTAACCTACACAACACCACTGTACAACAACAGCTCTGCGCCGCGCTGCCGATAACAATCAAAAGTCGATTGCCGCAACAATGGCGTCGAAAACTTTACCGCAAACTGAAATTATTCGTGCGATTCGTACCCGCCAGCCATTTGTGGTTGTAGTATTAGATATCCCTATGAAAGCACACGCACACACATTCGTATACAAATGTTTACAAGTAGAAATGTTCATATGTATGCTGCGTGTGTGGGGATTTGAAAGGGTATTTATGGCGAGCGTCTAAGTAAGCTTTAGCTGCTAGGCGTTCGGCTGTGAATGCGCATTCCTATTCAATCGGCTCAAATAGAAAATCGCATGCAAATTAGCAATAGCAAAGTTTTTTCAAGTTTCAATAGTTCCAACTTTCAACTTTATTGTCAACATGAAATGCAGCCGAGCTACTCGTAACTCTCTCTCTCTCTGACTGGTAAACATCCATCCACATGTGTGAGTCGTAAAAAAGGAAATGTTTTGCATACAAGTTTGTAGGTCAAAAGGCAAAAGGCAAAACAATGCAGAAAGTGTTATCCGGCGCATTAGAATATGCAAAGTAGCGAAATGCGCAGTCAGCGCGTCTGCTCAGTGAACATTAATGGTCAGTAATGATGGCATTGTTCCGTATATGTGTAATTGATATTCTTGGGCTCTTAAGTCATATTTAGCGCAAGGGTAGAGGAGCCCTGTGAATTTATAAATACACCAAGGGTTTTATGTCCTTTGTTTATAATGGCTACTTTATTGGTGCATTGAAGTTTGAAAGTGACTTAGAGTATCGAATGTGAAATCATCTCATTGGGTGATTTCAATTATAAACACTAACTTTTATAGCAAAACAACGGTAAGAATAGAGCAGAAAATATAAATAAATTTAAATTAAAAATTTGCATTATAATAATGATGAAAGTTGATACATCGCTTTAGGTATAATTAAAGATTTAAAAAAGTTGAAGGTTATATGCAGGCTGCGGCATATTTTCGGACCGAAAAATTGAAGTATATTTAATAAATAAAAAAAAAATTTATTAATCTAAAAAAATACATTTTCGGAAAGTGAGTTAAAGAGAGATTATAAAAAAAAGGAAACTGAATTTAAATAAAAGTAATATATATATATATATATATATATATATAACTCTAATTCATTTGAGTTCTAATAATAATGGGGGACGCAGAGGCGGTAAGTTGTGAAACATTATTTTTTTTACTCAATAATATATACGGGAATATATGTATGTAAGTGTATTTAACTAAGGACGTGCTAAGCTTTCAAAGTTTTTATTGAAAATGCTGGCACGATTCTTATGGCATATTGTAATATGTGAAATGGTTTAATATTTCATGCATATTTTACTCATAACCATACTTTATTTGGGATTCCGGATTGACGAAAATAAAACAATATTTTCACGTATTTTATTACAAATCTTTATTATCGCCTTCAAAATAGACTCCTTTAGAGTAATGCAAACATGTCGAAACTTATTCCAATTTTCCATACACTTGTTATAAGTCTCGGTTGGGATCGATTTCACTACCTGCAGCGAAAGACTTCGCGTCCTCCAAAGGATTTTTTAGTTTCAAAAACAGAAAGAAGTCACAAAGAGCCAAATCTGGCGAATAAGCCAATAATAAAACCAATGCGATGGCTCTCGCTTTGTATTTGGTCAAATAGTCAGTCACAATCATAGTAAGTTATCGTGCATTATCATTCGACGAATTGCTTTAATGAGCAACACCGTGATTTTTGACAGACTTGGACGTAGTATTTTGGTTTCGGCTCAATTTTGGCGTGCCACTCGCATGATTGCTTTTACAGTTTTTGTTTATTCATAAACCCACGTGATGAATGGAGGGTCCTCAGCTACGGGTTCAAACATCTCTTTTGCGAGCTCTACTCGACGTCGTTTTTACGTGATTTTTAGATTGTCCGCTATTTCTTTGATACTATCGCATGCATGAGGCTAGTTGTCGATCACTTCATGACCTTCACTAAATGCTTTGTGCCACTGAAATTCTTGTCTCCGTGATAAAGTGTAAATCATTTCATTGGAAAGACAAACTGTTAGAAGATCACAGCCGCCAGAGAGAGCATATGTGTCTTCTAATTAGTTTAACTATTATAACTACATACCATTTAAGATAAATTTCATATGTCACATACCATTTCACCGAATTGGACCTAATACGTTGCAGAGTATTTGTATTATGTTTTTATAATTAATTTAATAAAAAGATTGAAATAAAACTTTAAACAAAGAGCTAATTGCCACATGTTAACTTTTATCTTAAAATGGTCGAGATCACTTTATACCATTCCTAGTCCCCAAGTACTAATTAAGGAAATCTTCGTGCTGCCAATTGACCTAATTTTGAACATACAAGTTGTGTTAAAAAGAAAAGGTGAATTTTGAATTGTTTTAAAAGTACTTATATATTCATCAATATTTATTTTGTCCCCTTCAAAGTAATGGCCCTCGAATATAATACACTTGTGCCAACGCTTTTTCAATCCCCAAGCACTTCTGAAATGCGCTTTCCGGTATGGCCATCAGTTCTTTCTTCGATTCTGACTTGATCTCATCAATTGTGGCTTAACGCTTTCCTTTCATTGGTTTCTTCAGTTTTGGGAATAGAAAAAAGTCGCAGGGACCCAAATCTGGTGAATACGGTGGTTAAGGCATGATTACGGTTTTGTATAATATAAATCAAATATCGATAATCGAATGTATACAGCTCGCGAAAAATCAAAATCCACCTTTTTCTTTGAGCACACCTCATATGTACATATATGCCCACTTACATATTTTCCTTACCACAATCCTGTAATGGCTGAAATCAATTAAGGCGCTCGCGTAGCTCCAGCATACCTAATATTATATAATGATTTTGACTATCATTAGTAAGAAACCGGGTCCCCTTTATACTGTACATATCGGTTCGTGAGAAAAACATCTCAACGAAATAAAGGGAAAGCATTTCATCAATAATTATGACATTGACTTTTATCTACATTGATTAAGTGAGTAAGTAAAAAAAAACAAAAGAAAAACTAATTTTTGGCAGTTACAGTGATTAAGACGATCTTTAAACGTTTGGATATCATTTTCACTATTATTATTCTGCTTAGAAATAGACCTCATCCGTGGTAATTTCTTTCCAGAGACCATTGTCTTGAGCTGTGAAAACAAAACATCTTGCTGTAGGTCCGATCCGATCAAAATGGTGGCTGAGGAAGCAATTCAAAGTCTAATACATGCAATTTTGTCATTGATTTAATTGACTTGTGACATGATAAATCATTCGATTGAGAGCTCGAGGGGCCATCACCTCACATAGAATTTTCACACACCCAAATACTCGTGGTCATGAACTATATGTTAAAAAATTCCTTTGAAATCTTGTGAGTTTCCCGATCAACTTCATTTTAGCGGCATACAAAGTAATTTTTATTTTATTTTTTTTTTTTGATTTTTTCTTCCGTAATATCTTCTTGTGGCAAATTAAAATACCAAAGCTCAACTTAAAATAAAATAATTGAAAATTCTATATCTCCTGAACGAATTGTCGGTCAGTTGTGCAATTTTTAAACGTGCCTTTTGAAGGTTGTCCTGACTACAACACATACATATGTAACAACTTCACTGCCACTCAAATATAAGATAGGGTATTTTCAGCGTGATTAGTAAGATAATAAGATATCAAATATAATTGTAATCTATTCACAATTACCTCTAATAATGAGTTTTCACGCCTTTGCGTATATTATAAATATAAGCAGCCATACCCGGCCTGAGCAGTTTGTTACTAACATATAGTTTTTAACAATAAGAAAACACAACACAAAACAATAGTTCTGGGCGATATGCATTACTGTGGTTGTCAGTTTCCTAATCAAAGTGGGTGTTAACCTAATACACAAAGGTGACGTTGTATCGAAACTTTTTACTGTCTCGTCACATCATGACATATTCTGCAGAACTTTTAATCCTTTTTTGTTACATGATTTGCATATAGATTTGTGTCACCGCCATGCTAATTTTGGGCACAAGAATTTGCTATTCAAATGAGGCAGTAAAATTGTACGAAAATAAAAATAGTGCTTTCGATATTCATTGTAATAATGACCTTGTTGAAGCCGACGTTGATTTATAGTGACATAGGGTTAAGGAATACAACAGGCAATACTGTTACAAAATCATCTTGCAGGACTTGCTTTGTGGAAATGCAAATATATTCTAACTGCTTATTGAGCAATACATTTAAAATTCAACAAATAACAATATTTTGGTACGTACCTTTGTTTGTGAGTATGTGCGTTGTTAGGTGGGAATATAAAAATCGACATTTGTTGAATCAATAAGCGATTTGTAGCCATTCGTTCAGCTCTGATTGCAAGCGCAATTCATTATTCAGGTCAAATCTCCTACTCTTTACAAAAATGTCGCTGGAAGACACACGAAATACGATACCATTAAAATATAAACAAATTTGGATAAGTCGCGTAGCAAATGCCAGTAGACAGCCAAGCAAGATTTACATATTTATGACAAGCACAACAAGCTCTACATATCTAACTCGAGCTATAAAGAGTCGGGGCACTATGTAGGTTTGCATACCTAGACAACGGGACTGTTACGCATTTTCGTGGCTTAAAATCGTTAAGTTGTTGTACAGGCATATTTTACTTCTTTCGTCCTTCGCACATACAAACATATGTTCCCGGCATTTATTTATATATTATATATAAACTAAAACCAAAAATTAAAATGAACACAAATTGAAACCGTATAGATGCGACCATCCATTAGTGGACCACGGCCACCGTTCCCCAGCGCAGGCATGCCGCCACGTCCGATGGCTGCGCCACCACGCGCTCCTATGAATATGGCTGGACCCCCCGGTGGCCCTCCGCTCAGAGCAATGCCACCACCGTTACGTAATACAGACAGCAGAGGAAATCTGTTGATGGGGCCTGGACCCGGTGGACAACGGCTACCACCACCTCCCTTACAAAATTTACAAATGCGTCCGCCTAGTGGTAATGGTGGTCCTATGAGCCCACCGGGACAGGGTCAACCACGACCGCCTGGTGCGTATCCCTGGTCCGGTGGAGTACCAGGGCAACAAATGCCTACCGGTCGTCTACCAAATCCCTATCCTGGGAATCCTCCTACACGCCCGCCATTTGCACGTCCACCTGGCGCTCAACAACCACCGCCACGTCCACCTTACCAACAACACGCACAGCCACAGTCGCAGCCGCCACAGCAACAACAGCAACAGCCTCAACAGCAGTCATATCAGCAGCAACAGCAATCACCTACACAGCAGCAGCCACCACCGCGCCCACCCTCAGCCGGTTCGAATAACAATGAAGATGACGATGATGTGGTCATGGGTCAGGCGATAACACCACGTAAAACACCGAATCTGAAGGAAGATCCAATGGGTCCAGCGTTATCGGAGGACAGAGTGGACACACTGAAAGATAACTTCGGTATGGGCGAGACACTTGCACCCATAGCTGAGGTAAATGCGAATGGTGTGAAAACATTGTCGAGCATACACGAAATGCTGAGCAACAGCGCGGAGAAAAACAAGCAACAAAAAGAGGGTGCCCACAGTAAGAATATGACAAATTGTAAAGGCGGTACTTAAACTTCATATAATATAAATCATTATATTTCACACGCATAAATTAAGGCACTTTCTCTTAGAGATATGTTTTGCAAGTATTGAGGCATTTCGTTATTTGTAATTCATTTCTTCTCACACGCTTTCAATTAAATATTAATAAATTCATTTCGTTGCAGAGGGGGACAATGACAGCGGGGTTGATGAGTCAACTCAGGAGAAGGTGAGTGCATTTATGAGCATAAACGCTCGTTTCCGTTATTTTATTTTTGATGTACATACATAAAAATGTATGTATTTATGTATCCGGGATGTTTCGAAACATCAAATACATTTTTGGCGAATTTTAGACAAATTGACCAAACAGCAATTAAACGATTATTATTTAGTTCAAGTCTAACCCAGTAAGCATTTTTGTATACTAAATTGCGAGTTTTGTTGTGTATGTTAATTGGGCGCTTTGAATTTGTGACTATTTGTACTACATACAACTTTGCAGCAAACCGTTACTTTTTCTGCCAGATAATTTTTAGGATGGGTTTTTCTCTTTTTTTTTATATCTTCCAGCTAGATAAACTCTCAAAGTCCAGAAAAAGGAATATGTCTCAGTATCAGAAACAGAGACTGTTGTAACACTTAGATAAGTATTTGCAAATTTGCAAAAATATTAAATATGAGGGTTTATATACATACATTGAATTTTAAAGTAATATAAATAACTCTTAGATTATGGACAGCAAAATGAAAGCTAATGTTATAACAAAAACAAAACATCTTGCTTAAAACGGCTTACATCTCACACTGAACATCTACAATAAGTCATATATCTGTTAGCTATTCGCATAAAATATCAAATTAACATGGGGAGTTTGTTCTCAGTACTAGCTTATCTTTATAAACATAAACCATGCTACTTCAAATGTGGAAGAAATTATATGTCTAAACCGTATGTATCTCTCTTTCAATTGCTTACTGGGCAACTTCACTAAGGAAACGCAAGCAATTTTCAATTAATTTCTTTGCCTTTTTAAAAACAACCGTAAAAGGCAAGCGGAATAATCATGAAAATGTGACATATACATATGTATATATAACTGAGACATCGAAATGAAAGAAAAGCGATTGAGATCCACAACTACAAACACACATCTCAAATCTCATATTAGCGGCCCACACATACACGCATCCGTCTCAAAGCCACACACACGAATGTTATGCTCGTATATAAATACATTTGTTCAAATGTAGGTGCTTGTGATGAACATCGGTGATTCTTGAATGATGTTGCTCAACGCTTAAATGGCGCCACGCTTCAATAGCGAACCCGCCCACATGCGACACATACCCAAAAGCAGTTGCAACACACATGCATGTCTGGTTGACCTGCCCTCGATGAGGTAGCTGCTTCGGAGCATTGGCCTGTGAAACAGTGGCTGAAAATATTGCTCCATTCCATTCTAAAACTCAGTGCCGAACGAGCGATCTCAGCGCTATAACTAAACCGTAATTTTAGCAAACAAATTTTTAACTGCTGTGCAGTAAATACTTATAAATTTATTTGCAATTTATTGTGCGCTAACAATATTATTGAAGGCTTATCGGCGCACAGTTAAAGGCGAACGCCAAAACAAGTGTGTAAATTTCAACAGCTGTTCATGGTGATACGACCTGTCTCAGAGATAACTGTTTGTCTGCTTGTAGAGAGAGTGAGAGAGAGAGGTGAGAACAGGCGGGCAGTTTGTAATGGTTTTTACCTTGCCAGTGACACGGCAAGGATGTTTTTGTTGTGTGTGAGCAACTTGAGTTTGGAGTCAAGAAACTTTTCGCTGAACTGAATAAAAGTAAAACTAACGGCAAAGAATTACTTGGCAAAAACAAAAATAAAAAGCGAAGAAAGCAACAAAACTTGCATAAAACAAAACAAGTAATCAAACAAGTTGACACAAGCCATGAAGGATAATTCAGAACAAATGTTTATTGATGAGTAGAGAGAATGTAATGGCACATCGTTAATGGGCGCGGTGAGGGGTAGAATTGTAGAAAGAGCGGTGCGCGAAATTATCATCTTTGAGGCGCTCGAAGGGTGTGGGAATATTATTTATGTTTTTCGCATTTTTCCTTGTGTTTTTGCTGTTGTTGTGCTCTGTATATTTATAAGTTTTTTGTCTTTGTTTTGCATGATATTTTATTTAACTGTCTTTTGCACAAAAAAAAAAATACCAAAAGTGGTACACTTTGCGTCGAGTTGAATCGATAAAACAATGTGGAATTCCTGCAAAATCACATTCGTCCTTTGAAGTCATAATGCTCGATTTAGTCGAAATGTCGAAGTGTACACAAGCGGTGTAACGAAATAAGTCGTATAAGTTTGCATAGCGCAAGAGAAAATTGCATTTAATAAAAAATATATTTTAGCGAATTTTCGCGAAATTTGAAATGCGCGAAAAAATGCATTTGGTGATTACAGATGATACGAATTTTGTAATTGTAGCACACGGTTTGCGCGGCGTACTTGAAATATCACGCAAACACATATACATACGCACATACATATATGAAGAGACGTTGACTTGTGCCTTCTCGTCTCTTCGGAAATTTGTAATTTTAAATAAATAAGAGATTACTCTTTAATTCGTTTATAGGAACGCAACGGCCCAGGTTCGCCAAGTTCTCCGGCTAAGACACCGACGTCTACCACTTCGAAGGGCGAGAAGACAGGCGCCTCTCGTCCGCCCAGCGCAACGCCATCGAATAAATCGTCCAAATCACGTTCGACATCACGAAATCGCTTGTCTTTGAAGACTCCCGAACCAGAGCCAGTTAAAAAAGGTGGGTTAAATCTTTTCCACTATTTATTTTTAGGTACAAATAAATTTTTCGGAAAGCGTTCAGAACACGAAATACGTTAAAACCGCCTGCTGAGGGCATTCGCTGAACTTTTAACCTACAAAGTTTCCTAATAAGTAATATATGCGGTTGGATTCAATATTCAGGATTTTTGCTTACTTTGAAATATTGAAAATATCCAAATTAATACAAAAGCTTTTAAAGTCTCTTGATTTTGATCGGTGAGGTTATGTGGCAGTTTGTTTCCTATAGTGGTCCGATATTGGTGGTGCCAAAAAATAAACAGCGTCTGGGGGAGAAAAGGACGTGTGCAAAATTTCAGATCGATATCTCAAAAACTTTTCGTATATACAGACAATCGGACATGCCTCAAAATTATATTAAGAAAGTCTTAGTGTAGCACTCTCTACAGATCTTCTTGTATTTGTTTAATTGTCTACACATTCGGTTTTGATCTTCTTTAACTAATTTTCAATTTTTGACTTAATAATTACTCAGCGATTTATTTTGTTTTAAATTTTTTGTAATAAATAAATAGTAAAATAACAATTTAAAATTTTCCCCAGTACCAATGAATAAAATACAGGTCGGACACGCTCCTTCGCCCAATCTCAAAGCCGTGCGTTCTAAAATTGGATCGCTCGATAATGCCGGCTACAAGCCCGGTGGTGGCAATGTGAAAATCGAGAGCAAGAAGATCGAAATAAAAGCCACGCCCAGAATTGAGGCGAAAAATGACAAATATACGCCACGTGGGGGAGAAAAGAAGGTAAGAGGCAGAGATCTAAAATAAAAGTATACATTATAAATAACGAATTAAAAGCGATTTTGAAGCAAATAAGTGAAATTAAGATTTTGAAAATCTTTCAAGCATTCCAAAATATAATTATATTTTTTTATTTAAGTTGAAAAGACACGAAATTTTATTTAAAATTGTAGTTTAGCGATTTGCAGCTTTTGTGTATGAAATTCTTGTAGTTTTGTATACACTTCCAAAAATCACCGATTTACACATTGTACATTCTTATAACGTATATATGTATGTGTATGATTTAAACAATTGGCTTGAGAATTCTCACTTTTTAAGAATTGTAGTCTACAATTTTCATTTATCATTCATCTTATATACATTTACTATAAACATATACATACATACATTGTTGTGGTGAATCAATTTCACAGTTCATTGATTTTTCGATTAGCTCTTTATGATTTGAGAAAATATTGAACATATGTTCTACTTTAACGGTCGATTAGTTTGATGCGTTCCATATAAAAAAAAACGACAAACTGTCTACAAATAATTGTAAGATGATTCGAAAGGTTTATTTGGAATTATTGAGGAAATATTTTTTTTGTGGAAATCATCTAATTTCTGATGAGTTTAAGCTCCATTTTCTATACTCGCTCATAGTCCTATGTCTGTATTAATAAGTTTTAAACCATAAAAAATACTACTTTATACTTTAATTTGTAATATTATGGGCAACACAGATAATTTCGACAAAGCTGCAATGGAACGCCAAGTCGAAAATTGGCTCCTTGGAGAATGCCAATCACAAGCCAGGCGGCGGCGATAAGAAGATCGAAACAATTAAAACGGACTTCAAAGACAAAGCTAAACCGAAAGTCGGTTCGAAGGATAATGTTAAGCACGCTCCGGGCGGTGGTGATATTAAGGTAAGGTGTTCGCAACAGCTCAAGAAAATTTGAAAAAATTTTAGTAACGATACAGTCAGGCGATTACAAGCATACATACATAAGTACAATTGTATTTGTTGAATGGTTCGGCAGCATGCTCGAGTTATCTTTTCTAACTTACATACGAATTATCTGTACTAAAAATGGAATGCTATGCTATGTACATACATATGCTCGTATTGAAGTTGGTCAAGCAATTTCTGTATTTAAGCATATTTTTGAAAAATTTGCATGCCCAAAGTGAATTGGCTCTGCGTTGAAATTTGAATGTGTTTGTTTGGTTTAATATCTTCTTACTCAGATTTGGCTGCGTTCTTGGCTTAATTGATTTTCTAGAGTTGCTGGAATGTAATTTAACATGAATGAAAATTTACTGTAAATATTTAAGCTGTTTTATATAAATATGCATACGTAGATTTAGTATTGCTTTTACATAATTTAGGTATTTACATGGATACTGATTCATATTTGTATGAAAGGTTTCAACAACAGTTTTATATTTCGTTAGCCTTTAAGAATTTATACACATATTCAAATTGTTAAAAAAAAAAGTAAGCGTGGCTTCAGGAGCAAGAAATAATAAGCACTTCAGAATTAAACATTTCCGAATTACAAAATATATGTAGCTTCGTTTATACTTTGTATGCCGAAACCATTTCACTTAGCTATCTCTAAAACTGCACAAGTTTGCATTCAAACAGACAGTCCGACATGTGGCCGGAGAGTTGAGAATAATTGCATCAGTTGATTCTTCAGAAATTTTCTATTTATGATGATTCGATCTCTTCTGCTCTTGTATTTATAAAAATTTAACTGAATTTCAGAAAAATCTAAAATCGCGAATATGTTAGTTATTTCGAAAATATTTGCACTGAAGAAAGCATATATAGTTTTTACAACCTAATATTTGCTAACAAACCAAGACAGCCAAATATTTCTCACCGACTCTGAAAACAGCGCTTCGCGAAAAACGCATTTTAAGTTTTGGGAGACGATTAACCTAAGTTGAAAAATTCTTACAAATACGCGCATATCTCCGAAACTATTTACCGCATGAACTTCAAATTTTCGAAAATATTTGAATTATAATATATGTATGTATGTAAATCGATACACAAGCAAAAAATTTTTTTAAATTTTTTATTGTGGATATAATCCCTTAAAGACCCATTTAATTCTGGTTTGAGCTCCATATTTACATATTTATAGTATGTATAAGAAAGTTATTAGTTTTCAATACATTTTGACACATTTTTTTTGTTTTTAAAATTATATATGTAAATTGTTGATAGAACTTATAAATGCAGGAGTCCTTGGGTCGCAGTCGGATATAACAATGCAAAAGTATTCGAAATGAGCATAAATATGCTGTTAGAGTTGTATTATGAACTTTGGAATATTTTTTTTATATTGTTCCATAGGATTTACAATAACTTCATAACTTATTGTAAGTTATAGTTTTTTTTTTGGTTTTTATAAATTAAGTTTGTACGTTCATAATTATATAACGCGTCGGTTTCACTCAATCCTTTAACCAAAGGAAAGAACAAGAGCGGTTGACGTTCAGATAAAAAAAGTTTCGTTATTTCTCGCAGAAAACTAGTTCGGCGATCTGGCTATTTAGTGCCTTTGAGGTTCTGTGAGAATATCACAAAATATATACATTTATAAGTACATACGAGTAAATAATATACTACGCCCCTTCACTTAAATCCGTTATGCCATACCTAAGCTAATTTAAATTACTCTCTAAGAAGTTCGAAGAGCTGACTAAAATATTATCTGATTATAAGTTATAAGTAAATAATAAAATCTATTAAGAACTACTAACAAATGAAAGTCATAAAGAGTATGTTATAACTCTATTTTAAAGATTAAATACGTATATTGCGTCAATAACTATATCCTGCGGCTTTTTTTTTTAATTTGAACGTTTATTTAAGAAAAATATATACAATAGTATTATTTAAAGTATTTCCCATCTGAAGCTTAAACATTTGGCGATTTGAGGATTCCATCCCAAAAGAACTGCGCAGGCTTGGTGGCCAAGAATAAATAAAGCTAAATTTTGTTGCGTTCTGCACCAATTAGGCGATTGAGATAAAGCTTCCCAGCCGCTGATTTTCAAATAATTTTGAACCGGTCTGGCAACATGAGCTTGAACGTTTTTCGTCTTCCAAGTCAAAATCACCACACTTAAATTGTACAAACCAGTTTTGGCTCATTCGCTCAGCTAGAGCATGTTCATCATAAACATCCACCAAAATACAATGAATTTCAAGTGAGGTTTTCTTCAAATTAAAGTAATGAAGAAGAACGCCCTGCCAAAAGTCATTTTCAGGCGCAAAGTTCGAAATATTTAATGCAAAAATGTTTGTTGTTTAGTGTCAAATGAATTACATATGCTGAAAAAGACGCACAGGGACAGCAGCTTTCCGACGCATTTTCGTATTATTGGAACAATGTAATCATGTTAAAATTACTCCATCTTTTGGAAAACCGCACCAATAAAGTTAGCTCCGTAATAATATTATAAGCGTTTAAAGTTATTTAATCACACGTACATATACTTATGTTATTGTAAATATATTCATAAATATGTATTAAATTTTTTATTCCGAGCAGTACTTAGCAATTTGTGGCAATCGTTTTGTTTATTACTTACTTAGTATTTGATTTATGGTACTTCATTTGTTTCTTCTCTTTTTCTGCATTTTATGTTTCGAAACTGAACAAACTTTGATTGATTGATTGATACTGGCAAACTAAAATCACAATAAAAAACAACAATAATTATGATTATATAAAAACAATAATTATACTTACGAACTGCTAAAACTTAACAAACATAAAATTAATGTAAGCATTCGCAAATCTTGAAGGAAAGCACAACCGCCAAGGATGTAAGTAGTTTGTGTGAATTTCATAAATATGTAAAAACAAAAATGTAATTTTTGTTCGTACCGTCCTTAGCGTATTATTATTATTTAATGAATTCAAAATAAAGTAACGCAAAGCTAACGGCACAACACGACTCGCAGCTCACAAGCAGGCGCTGTAGATGCGTAGTAGTGTGCGTTGAGGAGTTTATTTTTTCAAGTTTACAACAATTTTTTCTTAAATTTTCTCTACCACAATTTTTGAATTCTTCTACGCTTGGAATTTTAGCATCCACCTCGTAAAATTCGCACTTTTCTTTGCACTATTTGGCCGTTTTAGATGTTTTATCTGCGTAACTTAGAAATGTCACTCTCTTTTCATGTTTCGTTTTATTTTTTAATGCCTCTTTTTCAACCCATACAAAAGATCAAAACAAATGTTTGTGTCCACATTACACTACTGTGTGTTAAAATTTTGCAAATTCTAGATTTTCAATACAAAAAAAAATCGGGTACTTTTCAGATACAAACTCAAAAGGTAGAACTTAAGGCACAAAGCAAAGTGGGCTCTTTGGATAACATTAAGCACAAGCCCGGTGGTGGGGAGCGAAAAATTTTCGATGATAAGGACTATCTGAAAAATCTTGAGCATACAGTTGCACTGACACCACCGACACAGGTAAACACCATGTGATTAACATTTCTGATACTTGCAAATTATCTTGGAATTGGAATTGTAGCAAATACGAGTTTACTTATATTTGTTGTATGTTTTTGTTTTTTTTTTTGGCATTAATTTCCACCTATTTCATTTTTAATTATGTAATAAGTAAAATTGATGCGTTTTAAATAATTTACGAAATTAATTAAATTTTAGTTATTTTTTTGGTTATTTGGGTTTTGGAAGTAATCAAAAGCATTTACCCTGTAACTGAAGTGAGAGCGGTTGCAACTTTAAAATTACAACTTTAAAATAAAAAATATTTTTTTTCAAATTTTTTCAAAATTATTTTCTCTTAAACCGCTCCCAATTTCATTTGTAGGAGTTTTTATTTAGTATCACATCTGTTAATACGACAACCATGCACCCTGTATCGCAATAGTGGCTTGCTTTCGTTATACCGGCAACTCCATTGAACAGTTCAAAAAGTTATGTTCTTTCAAATTAATTCATCCACTACAACAAACAAAGTTCAAGTACGAAGAAAAAACAAATAATAAATTACAAAAATAATACGAAAAATTAGAAACAAAAAATAAAAATTAAAAAAAAGTCAATCAACTTTGTTTTAGTACTAATTTGCCTAGCAATTAGAAACATTTAAGTATTAATAAGCTCGCACAAATACACTAACGACACTCATCTTCACTATACGCATGCGTAATATAGCGCACATATACATATCCATATATACTATGTAAGAAATCGCACACCTGCTTGCACACAAATATTCCAAAATGTAATGCAAGGTTTACTAATTGGTGCAAGTTAAGTTCGGTTATTAGAGTTTGTAGGCAAATAGAGAGCGTAGCATTTACTGAGCAAAAGCACCTTAACGCAATACAAACACATACATAATTACATTACTGATTACTAAAATACATAGTTACCTAATCATTACAAAAATAAAATTACTTAGTGGATATATCAAAAAAATTGCAAGCGATTCGAAAACAATATGTTTCGCTGTCTTAGTTACAATACTGAATATATACAAAATTTGTCCACAACTCTTTGTTTAAATAACGATCTACTAATTTATCGATAACCTGCATAAGCTTAGCATATCACTAACAATTAAAAACTGAATTGAAAGCAGTGCCGTCCACAATAGACCTATTGGTGCTGAGCAAAAAATCATTTATTTAAATCGAGTTTATCAGTTTTTACCCTTTACTCCCACTGTTATTTATTTTTATTGTGGTAAGCTTTTTCTTTATATTATTTAATTTTCTTTTACTTAGTGTTTTTAAAATTTTCATATTTTCGTATGCAGGACTTTTGAAAACTCGAAACCACAATTTTGTACAATTAAAAAAACGATTTTGATGCGACTCTCAGAAGCGTTAGAAACTAGTGGCGAAGAAAATGTTATGTGTACGTATGGTCAAAAAAATGTGTCGAAAAATAGTCAACATATAAGTTAGTACCCAAATTATATGTGACCCTGATTAATATATACATAACATTTTAGTGTTCAATTGGTTCAATTCTGTAAATTAATCCGCGGATCCCATGACAGCTTGGTCATCGTGTACTAATCATTCCAATCTTATACATATATTGGCTTTGAACTATTACTAAAGCGATATTTCCTAAAGTTATTTGGAGACTTCTTATCATATTACTGCAACAAACAACTTGTTAAAAGGACATCGATATACTCCAGAAATATTTATGTCCATTAGTATCTGTTGCCTTATCACAACTATTACCAAATTGAGGAATATCATTTGTTTCAAGAGAACCATCATTAATTGTTATATTGAACTCCACGGTCTTTTCTGCAAGCTGCATTTGAGCATTTGTAATTGAGCCTTAATTGAGTAAATCACGGAGAGGGAGTGCGAAAGGAATATATCGCTATGATTCGATATCCTGCATACGAAATGCTTTAATTTTATATCGTTATTTTTGTTACTAATATTACAATAAAAAGTGTGTTGTGATTATAATTTAGTAAATAATTTACTTATATTTATAATATTTTTAACAAGAGAGGTTTCCGAACAAAAATCAAAATTCAACTTTTAATACAATCCGTTAAAATTCCATTTAATTGAATTTCAATGAAATGTCAATTCGTTAACTATACAACCAGCAACATCCCGTTCTTCTATTCTTTTTTCTCTCTTTACTTTTATTTATAGTTCCCGCAGGGACGCCTTATAGCCACCATCCACCTAGAATTTGGCCTTTGCAATTCAGACTGTGTGTGTAATGAAATATTTCAATCGCTCTTTAAATGAATTTACTTGCAAAATGCTTTGCCAAAAACAACAACAACAACAAGCATAAAATTTATATATACAAATACATATATATTTACATAGTAAATTCATAACAAATAAGGCAAAAAAGAACTAAAGATAATGCAAAAGCGTACATTTGAACGAAAGCAATCGGGCTAAAATAGCAAATAACTAAAAATGGCACCTAATTTTGCGCAATTAGCAAAATACGATTTTGTACCTTAAAAAATTACGTCACAAGAACGCTTAGCTCACTAGTGCTACAACAAATCGATATAAAAGCAAACAAATATTTTCATTGAAAAATAACAAAATTTTGATGAAAGCGAAAGTTTTTGCAGTGAAATAAAAATTAAATAGATCAAAATTAGGTCCACAAAGCACACAAACTTAACTTAGGTTCGCTGTAAGTGAAGAGAGTTGGAAATTTTCAACCTAAAACACGCATACACTCACACACACACACAAAACGGAACGGTTAACACAAAAGTTAAAGGAAATTGTACAAAAACCAAAAAAAAAAAAAACCTAAAAAAAAATATTTTTGCCAAATGAGAATTTATTCACTTGAACTTAGACAATATTTGTTTTGTTTGTTCAAATGCAAACCTTAAACAGAACTTACTTACACTAAATATGCTATATACAATCCTACATACAAATGTATAGACATGCACACACATACATGCATATATATCTACACATCTACTTAAGTATACACATAGGTGACAGTATTTTTATCTCTAAGTACTTAGGCTAGCAAATTACGTCAGATAACTATTTTAAGTATGACTCAAATCATATATAACTGTTTCGAACACTCGTTAAAGTAGCAAAATAAGCGCTGACTGGCAGCTCAAGCAGCCAGGCCAATGCTGATCTGGCAACAGAGCGCAAGACACGCATTCTTCAGCATTATATCCTAAAATTAAGTTAACTAGTTTGTAATACGTGTAGGTATATCTATAAAAATATTATAATTACAATTGGGAGATTTGGTACTTGAGAAAATCAATCAGTTCAATTATTTGCTTGATTTTCCTTATTAAATATATTGGGAAATTATATTTTAAGAAAAGCACTTTAAGTGTCACCATTCGTAAACCAATTTATGTGTAATTTTTATTTTTATTTTTATTTTTACATTAACGGAAGCAAAGAAATCATAAACAATATTAATCCTGCCAAATAACAACACACTCATCCACTCATACACACTTTTTATATGTAGCTGTCTTAGTGCCTTACTATTTCCAAATTCAATTTATTTACACTTTTGTTTTCTTAGCGAGTTTTCCATTTTAAATAGAAAATATTTTAAAATTACTGGATTTTTATCTAAACTTTTCGTGCGACTTTGTTTATTTATATAAGCGACCCTCAGCCTGATGGAGAAAGTAAAAGAAAAACCAAATTTTTTATGGTTTTTTTTTTTCAAATAAAAACTAGACCTCTTTAATCCCTTAAAACCATAAGAGGATTTCAAAGAAATTTATATTAATTTGAATATATTTGTAAAAATTACTTAATTAAAATCGGTTCTTCTTATTGATCAGTGGCGTACGCAGAAACGTATTTAAGGAGGGGTTTTCTGTTCAAATTTTGCATCATGTTAAAAAGGGATGAGAGATATACAAATAGTTAGTGTTGCGAAAATATATTTTCTTTTATTGTTTTGCAAAGGAAGGTTCTTTGCGTACGCCCCTGTAACACATATCTGAATTTTTCCGTTAATTTTATATCCATATTTTGATTAACAAATAAAGATTTACGCTTTTAAATTAATTTAAATTTTTTCTCAGAAAATAATAAATGTGGATGGGATCGATGTAGTTTCTATAATAATGCATCGATGATTTTCCAAATAATTTTCTTGATATCAGTTATGACTTAGAAAACTACAGAATATTAACTTAAGATAACAGAAACATTTTTTTTGTTTTTTATATTTTAACCATATATATTTACAATTATACTGCCATAAATCAGCAAGTTTTTTGTATCGAATTAAGAAATTTCAATATCTACTGCAGCAAAGTTCCAAATAATTTTGAACTCATACATTTTTACTCAATTATGAAACAAATTTATATTAGATTCACTTCTGACAAAAATTCAGTCCATCTATTGGTCATTATTAGTAAAAAACACAAGGAATTTCTCATTCTTGAATACACGAACAATTTATAAAAAGCACTCGTATAACAAAATAATTCCTTTATATACATAAATAAATTACAAATATGAGTCAATCGATGATATAATCTTTTCAACTAACTCGACGCTAGCACCACCTGCTAGTAAATAATTTTTTGCAAACAGAGTGTCATTGCATTTACGAATATACATATATCAAATATCGCGTGAAGCCAAATCAGAACAGATATACTATTCTGTTAGTAACACGTCTGTAGCTATGTTTATTTATTATGACCATAACCTCTTTCCAAATGAATTAAGTTGTCAAAAATCAATCGAAATTCGACTCTGGCCGACTTTAGTGATTTAATTATGCGCGCAACGGAATGTTAAATAAAAAGTGTATAAAGTGGAGCCGAAGGCAACTGAATTCAATATTGGTAGTTTCTACAGTATATTTGTTCAAATTTTTTCCGACTTTCACGGTTTTCTAACTATTTTTTCGATATTTCTAAGAGGCATAAAGTTTGACAACTACTGTTTGTCTGTTTTTACTCGTATTCGTACAAGTATATACGACAACTAGTCCCTCAGTTTTTGAGATATTGATTTGAAATTTTCCCTTTCCCCCCAAGCAGCAGCTCATTTATTGGATCCGCCGATATTGCACTGCTATACCATATAGCTGTCAGACAAACTGCGCGTTTAAAATCCAGTGCTTGTATGGAAAAGTTTTTTATTAGACAAGATATCTTGACGAAATTTGACATGGATTGTTGTAAAGAACAGCGCTAGCATCTCTGAACATATTGTCCATATCGGACTACTAGCATATAGTTGCCATACAAACTGAAAGATCGGAAGCAAGATAAAGATCTTTCTATGCCCTTTTATATAAGAAATGTGCCTGAGAATTATGGCTTCGGTGCAGTCGAAGTTTTTGCTTGTTTTACTTATATTTTTTAGTTTTGACATTTTAAAATTGCGTATACTTGTATACAAGTATATCAGATTCTTATATATTCTATATATATTACAACTATATAATGTTATTTTTATAATATTTAATATTTTTTTTTAATAAACTGATTAATACATTTTATATGCCATACTTCTACATATATGTATGTATCATATGTACCATCATATTCTGATCAATAGTCATTAACTTAAAAGTGGTAACACTGGTCAACCAACGGTTAGAAATATAACGTCCTTAGATAGCTTAAGCAATTATATAACTAATAATTTTATTAAAACAACTTATAATAATTGTGCGTAACAGAGAAATAAGTTAACTATTTATATTTATAGGAATATTTATATACCTTTTACTGAATATGACTATGAAATATTGAACTGATAGTCCCTAACTGTCATGCGAAACTACCTAAATAAAAGTATATCTGCTAATATATAATTATATATTCACTCAACCAACAACAAACGTCGTTTAACGTAAGTTCGAAAAGCATATAATTTAAAAGAACTAAACAGAGAAAATGATAATTTCATGCATAAAATGACTAATATCTATAGAGACCCTGCCATTAACTACTAAGCAGACTCAACTGCATACTACTTGTTGCTCTTTCAAATTACTTGTACAAGCCCAAGTCTACATATAACACAAATATTGCTTTCGAACATTTTGTACCTGCGATCCATGGACCCTCATTTGCTTTAAAAACATGCATTAATATAAATATCTGTTTATATATTATACATACCATATATATGTAATATATACGTGAAACTGTACATAGCAACACATAAATCGTCTAAGTGGGTGCTCTAAATGTTAATCAATAATGTTTTTCATTTCTATTTTCCATATACTTATTATCGTATGTTATGTAAAATAATTCATCAGACTGCATTCCATTATCCTCTGCTTCTATTCATTTTCGCATATGTTGCTTGATTCTGACATTCCTCTTAAACGGTTTTATTCGTCAGTTGTTTTCTTTTCTTTGTGATAATATAATTTTTTTCAGTGTAATTTTGAATGTTGAAACTTGTGGTGATAGTTTATGATTTGATATTTTTTATTTGAATCATTTCTTCTTAAACGCAGAGTCCACAACCATCCATGACGACTTCAACAACTGGTGCCGATGAAAATTTAAATCAGCAGAGTTAAACAAATTAAGCACGAAAGAAAAGCAAAACAAAAAAACAAAACAAAAAATTATCAGCAATTTGAAAAAAAATACAACATTAAATACATACATATTTACAAAGTAATAAAAATTAAGAACAAGAAATACATAAAAACAAAAAACAAAAACAAAATAAAACATACTTCATTAAAGCATTATTATTAGCATTAATTGCATACGATTGAATACATATTTATTAAAACAGAAAAAATACATAAAAAAAATAATAAAAATTTTGAAGTGAAAATTCAAAATTACATGTATACATACATTTGAGCAACACTGTAATTGTTGAGATTGTATTATCACCAACCACAAAATATGTAAAATTACCGTATTGTATTTGGAGAAACAGTTATTACTCGTAAAAACTCGGTGTGCATTTGAAATGTAGCAAACAATTTGCAAATAATAAAACATTTTTCACAAATTTCACGTTTTTCACTTACGATTTATTTGAAGCAAAAATATATTTTACACCAACAGTAGTTATTTCGTTGAAGATTTGTTTAGACACCTTAAGTTAAGCGGCAAACTTTGCGTTTTACATAATTAAACTAGTCATACCTACATACATATTTACAAATAGCCAAGCAGATTTCCTTAAATAAATTACAGTTATAAGCGTGTCATAATGCCATTATTAGTATTTAGGAGACCCATGAGAATGCACGACCATCGAATAAAATTTTTTCAAAATGGTATATGAAAATTTTGCTTTGGTTTTAGCTTTAGGCCAGGAACACAGTGAAAGAGCTGAAAAAATAGAATAGAGGATAAACGGCCGCACCGATAAAAAACTGGGTTTATTAAACACTAACTAAATTGTTAGTTAGAAGGTATTTTCTTTGACGTATTGGTTCCAAGAATAATAGAAACAATATTGCGTCAACGTGACGTCATACCCTATATAGAAGCAATATAGAAAAATTCAAATGGACTGTAAATAATAAACAAAAACGTAAACACTTCTATCGTCTATGACGTCACCGCCGCAATTTTCTTTTTTAATTCTTGGTCACAGCTGTCACAGGCTAAACCGCAATAAATAACAATAAAAATTGGCGTAAACTCCATCTCTATAACTCTTGTACTTGATCATGGTTCTTCCTTATGAAATATTGCTATGAGAGCCAAGCTAATAAAGAGGTCGCAGATCAAAATCTCAGTTATACAAATTGCCATTAGCTGACAGCAAATATTTAACTTTCAAGCGGGTTTTCTGAGAAGAAATTAAGAATTTTTAAATGGTTCTGATTAATTTTATAAAGTTGAGGAAAGTTCGATCAATATGTATGGACGTCATATTTTTGTGGAACAAAATGTGCAGCTACTTCCGAGGCATGTTCCGTGATACCATTATATATATGATAATTAGAGTTAAAATTAATCTAAAGCAAAATCTGAAATAGAGTTCGATCAATTGGGAGCAGCAGGTATTTCAAAAACGTCTAAGGCCTGGCATAAATTATAATTACATAATAACACTTTTTTATTAAACGTCTACATGATTTTTTTATACACATAACATTTTATCGGGTAAAGAATATATATTCATACATGTATATCTTGAAAATATTTACACCTACTTATTTATATACATGCAACATATAGCCATACAAATCTTAGGCAGAAAGCTACTATTTACCCAAAAAACAAAAATTTAAATAATAAATTAAATATATATATGTATGTGAATGATCCTGTTATGTAGTAGTCGATATTAAAAAAATACTAAATATTATTATATATAATGTGTATACAATTGACACATAAATAACTGTTACACCTACAAGTATATACCTAAACCACACAAGCGTACATGCCCTGTAGGGAAAATCTAGTGTGTTAAAATAGCTGTAATAATAACAGGCTATATTTTGGAAAACATATCACAAAAGAACCTATTTGGGAAAATTTAGAAAAAAATGTTTTCTTTTCATTTTAAAATATTTTAAATTTTTTGTAGGGAATATTTTATTGTGCTATTTATGAATTTTTATTACAATACTTAACTCAATGGTTTAAATTATTAGTACTTTCAAATATCAGTTAGATATTCCTTGCAGGGCTTCAATTATGCCTACTACATAGACACATTTTATAATATTACAGCAAGATGTATTGCTTTCAAACCACCAAAAGTAATTCAATCACACACATACATACATTGACACTTTCTTACAATTTATTAGCCCTACGATTTTGACAATTTGGCGACTGTTATGTCTTACTGATTTTCAATTATAAGCTCAATTTGCGTTAGACTGAGAACATAGTGGATCCATATCTACTTTGCATCTTGCTTCACTTCGTTTTCAGTCTTATATGAAATCTTTAGTATATGACAAAAATTCTCAAAATAATTTTTGTTTTTGTTTGGATCGCTATGCATATTTATGCACTCAAATAGGGAAGCTACATAAATAATCTAATAACATTTGGAAAAAAGAAAATATTGTAATTATGCTGAGCCTCAATAGGAAGTTATAATAAAATTATTAAAAACGACAAAAATAGTTTCCGCTACATTCTTCACACTCGCGCCTTTGCCATTAGTAAGTTTAATTAATATTATTATTTTTTTTTTTGCATAAAAACAAATCCAATTTTTGTAAAATTAATAATATTTTAACAAAATTTCTATTATGGAAACTACACAATGCAGAATTAATTCAATTTAGATACATTTATATAATATAAAATAAAACAAGCAAAAAAAAAAACTAAAACCAAGAAAACCGAAAACTTCATTCATATTAATGTGGGAAATTGTAAACTAACATTGCAACAAATAAAATTGATTTGTCTAAAAAAATTTTGAAAATTGCACTTTTTCTTTATTATAAATATATTTAAATTTATGCATAAAAAAGTACGATTTTTGAAGAAAAATTAGTCTTGCTTTAGTTTTGTAGCTTAATTTAGCCACAAAATTTCATCGTCATCAAAAATTATTAGCAACAATTGTATTTAAGCTATGGCAAATTTCTGCAAATCACCGTTAGTAAATAAAATGAACCACACCAGCAAAAATCTCTATGTATTTGCAAGCCAAGGCAAATAAAAATTCGGCCAACTTGAAATGTATTGGTAAACAATTTGCTGCAACACGCTAAGGTAGTAAGTTTTTTTCATTGTATACTTTTTTAAAAATATTTTTAACGTTGTATATTTGTATTGAAATCATAAAAATACAAAATAATAATATTAAAATAAACTTCAATTTTATTAAATAACGCAAAAAATATATATAAATAAATAAAAAAATTATATTCAAAAAATGAAATAATAATATAATTAATTAAAATAAAAAAACAATACAATAAATAATTTTAATATTAATAAAACAAAGCGAAACCCGTTATTGAAAAGAGTAAAAAAAAAAAATTTTTTAATTTAGGAAAGAAAATTTTTTTAAATTTAAATAAAAATTTTTTAAATAAATTATTTTAATATTAATAAAAACTTGTTTACTCTTCTCAATAATGGTTTTTGCTTTGTTTTATTACAATCAACATTAGTAATTGTATTCTAATTAATTTAAAAAAAAATATTATTTTTACATTCAACAATCCAAAATTTTTTTTATCTACAATAAAAAAAATTAATAATTAAAACCAAATAATTTGTTTAAAATAAGTTTAAAAACGCAGTTTCAAATATTTTTCTGCCTTCAATAAATTTAAAAAATTGCAATGAGAAAATAAAACTAAAAATAAAGATATAATATTACAAATTTAAAAATATTAGTGAAACAAGAAAATTAACATATAAATTTTTAATAATTAAAGAAAACAATTTTTTATTTTTAAAATATAGTTTGAAATAATAAATTAACTAAAATAAAGCCAAAACATTAAGAAAAAAAAATTTAATAATTAAAACAAAAAAATTGTTTTTAACATAATATGCAATAATCAATATTACACATATAATTCTGCAAACAAACTAATAACAATATAATAAAATTAACTAAATTAATTATGAACATAAAATGCTTACACATTCTAATTATTAAACATAATAAATGTTGTTAAATATTATTAAACAAGCCGGCAAAGCAAAATAGTGTTAAAATCGAAATAAATATATATATATATATTGATCATATAATAATTTATTGAAGTTGATTAAGTTGAAATAACAAATATTAAGAAAATTAATAAAAGTAAAAAAAGAGGAATATCATTAAAGTGAAATGAAATAAATAGTAAAAGTAAAGGTAAAAAAAAATAAAACTACTAAGAAGAAAATATTTTCCTTCATATTAATTGTTAAACAATAATAAAAAATAAACATTTAAAATATAAAAAATTACATTGCATGCATTTTAATTTACATATAATAGTTTAAAAAACTCTTAATGATTTTTGAATGCATATTTGGAAATGAAATCTAATTCTTCTACTTTTCTACATCCCTCTTCAAACACGATGACGCTTCTAATAGCACTGGAAGGTGCAAAAGGTGCAACGCGCCACCACAATCACCTCATCCATGTCGCTGCCTGCTGAGTGCCTGGTGCTCTCGGTATCAATGCCTTCACTGAATGCGGAACAAAAACGTCCCAAAAGTGCTGGGCCCAAGAAAAAACAAGGACAAGCGGTACATCCAAAGCCCTTCCGTCTATACTAGTTAGAGATATATATATGGTATGTACATATGTACATATGTATGTATGTATACAAAAATATAAATTATATGAAAGAAACTAGTCAGCAGCACCGTTTCGAGTTCCAAGATGCGCCAGACATGTCTTCAAGAATTTAAATGCATACAATATACATTAAATGACAACACCAGTGCATACATACACACAAATTCTAAAAATATTCATCGTGTTTTGTGAAAATCATTTGCGCAGCCGCAAAGGAGACTTCATCAATACAAGACGAAATTGAATAAAAGGGCAACGAGTTTCATTAAATACAATAAAAAAACCTTAAATATTCACCAAATTTGCATAAAATAAATATGTCATTAAATTACAATCAAGATGTTGAAATAAAGCAAGAAACATAAATAACGTTAATCGGACTTTTTTTTGTACTAAGGAATTAGTTTGCTGAATTTGCATAAGAAGAGGTGAAAACAGAAATTTTTTTAGTACTTAGACTTTAGACTTTGGTGAATAAAAATAGGTGCAAAAATGTTTCCTTAAATTTGTAGGTTATTGAAAATATGGTAACGAACATTTCTACTGGCATCAAGTGAGTATGAAAATATACTTATTAAAAAAAATTTTATATTGTTAAACAATATGCTAATATCTAGTTTAACATTTGGAATAAATTCGCCATTCGCTTTTGTTCATTTTACTTTATTCACTTACATATACATATATGTATATAGTATACATATATATTCGCTTCGTTTCACAGTAGCTCTTCTCCTCCATTTTGTTTATACGTACATTATTAAATCTACTTCACTGCCGTTACTTTTCTTATTTTTGATTTTTTTACTATTATTACAATAATATATAAAGTAAATATGTATTCATTTGTTTTTCTCTTTATCTTTGTTTACTCATACAAAATTACAAATAACATTTAAATACATTTTTCAAAATTTTTTGAGGTTATAATTTCAAAAATTTGTTTACAAGATGTAAAATATTATAAAATCGGAGTAATGCATGAGTGTGTGTTGTTGAATGTATAAGATAAAGGAGAGATTATATATTGAATTTTTTATTTGCGTTTATTTATTTTTGTTCAGTTATATAAAATTCGTGTAGAACTTTTTTTTTAATATATTTTTACATTATATCTTCACATTCTACATAGTAACTGTTTTGCAATAAGCAATAATTAAATCATAATGTTTATGCATACATAATAAATAGTTAAAATGGCAAATGAAAATATATTTGTTATAAAAATAAAAAATATTATAATAAACAGTCGTTAATGTTTAATTGTAACGTGCATTTTAGTTTATAAATACATACATATGGATATGTACGTTAACATACTAAAACCGTAAAAAAAAATTGATATCATTAATATAAAATGCAAGTGTGAATAGTGTAGCTTATTAAAAAAAAAAAAAAAAATACCGCTGCAGCTGTGTGAGCGCATGCGCTGGGGGACGATGTGTGCAGCGGCGTTTGAAAGACATAATTTTTTTTTTTAATCCTTAACGAAACTAATTCTTTTCAATAGTTTACTAATAGAGTGTACATTTGTGCATCGTTCTACAAATGTAAATATGTAGGTGTCTACAACAAAAATAAGTCATTAAAATAAATGTTAGGATATTAACTAAAGTGGGTGCTATAATTTGCTTTGTCACAACACATAGTGACAATTTGTTTTTGTTTCTTTTGTCTAAGCTCAATTCGGTATGCGCCACAATGCGCTCAATCAACTTTCTATCCGTTCAATATTTTTTATACAACAACTTTATATACTTAGCTGTTATTTAGCTTCAACTTTTCACTTAATTTTTATTTTTATATTTTTTGCTTTTTTCATTACTCAATTGACTAGATAAGCTATTTTCTTTTGTCCAGTTGCAGTTCGTAACAAAGAGTAATCAGCTGAATAAATTTGAGAGTTAAAATAAAATTTGTTTTACTAGCTGCACAACGGTAATAAGCTGCTTCTTGGTTTACATACATATGTGTGTGTAAATAACCTTATTCTAAGACAGTTTTTAATTCGGAAAATCTGCGCTGGAACAGCTATTGCCCATAGCAAAAGCTGCAAACATAAAATGCAGAATGATGGAGAGCGAAAATAATCATTATTTCGCAGCTATTAAAAAAATTAAAACTTTTTAAACAAGGAAAAATAACGTAAAAAAATATTAATACAAAAAAAAAATATATATACACAACACATTTCTCAAGTTGTCCGCTGCCTACACATTTGATAATCGCGGACTTTAAACTTATATCAGTTAGTTAATAAATATTCGAGTTGGATCTCTTAGACACGAGTTGACTCCTTGATTGTGTTTGTGTGTTTGTTGCCGTTTAAGGTAAATGAGTGGTTTGCTTTTGTTAAATATTTGATGTTTCGTTTCCCTATAGAAAAAAGGTGCATATCTTACATAACTATACACTTTCGTTGACGACGCTTTTGTGGTTCTGGCCTGAGCACAGCTCTCACAGCTTCTTCGAAGACCTGCAAATATGTAATGTATAACAAAAATCGCCTACATCTATTTCACCAGCGCAACATACCTGCTTCAATCCTCTTTGCGTAAGTGCCGAGCACTCCATGTATTTGACGGCGCGTATTTTATTCGCCAACTTTTGACCCTGCTCACGTTTTAACGGTGCCAAACCCTGTTCGGCTAGTGTGCTGAGCGTTTCGCGATCATCACGCAAATCAATTTTGGTACCTGTATAAAACGCCAATAATCATTAAATGAATTTGAAGTAGTTGAACCATTTTGTGCAACTAACCGACTAATATTATCGGTGCATCCGGGCAGTGATGCTTTATTTCAGGATACCATTTCGATGTGACATTTTCGAATGAGGATGGACTGGCCACGCTGAAGCATATGAGAAATACATCCGTTTGTGGATATGAAAGCGGGCGCAGACGATCGTAGTCCTCTTGACCCGCTGTATCCCATAATCCCAGCGACACTTGTATTGTATCTACAGTCATGGGCGCAGAGTAGTTATCAAAGCTGGACGGAAAGTATACCAAGTTAAGTAAATGACTTTTATGGACTTGAACAAAGCTTACACTGTAGGCACATATTCGCCGGGAAAACTGTCTGTGGTGTATGAAATTAACATGCATGTTTTGCCAACGGTGCCATCGCCAACGACGACACATTTAATGGGCCTTCCTGTCGACATCTGCGAAAAAACAAAAGCAAAAAAACGTATTGTAAAATATATTTATCAATTGTAAATATGTATTAGTAAGTTGGGTATGAATGCAAGACAGTGTGGCCAGTGGAAATTGTGTAATCAAATAAATTAAACTTCAGCAGCGAATGTGGAACAATGGAATGTACATATATAGCCTGCAGCGTTGGTGGAGTGTGGTACAGTTAATTAAATACAATTTGCCACTTGAGCACATTTATTGTCTTTCGTTTTTCTTTGCATGGAATGTCAGAATGATTGTTGGCAAACGCATATGTATGTATATATGTATGCATTCGTATGCCTTGTATTAAGAGGAAATCATATGACATTTTAATAGAAGTTTAAGGATATTAACCTTTTATTTTATTTTCAGGCACATTAACTATTATAAGTATTTCAAAATAAAAACGTCTATTAAGGTGTGTTTTAATTGTTGTTCAGTTATAAGCACTTTGAAATCAATTATATGTAGAAATTCAGTAATAATCTTGCACAATATCCTTCTCATTCTAAAACACATGCACATTCATCAGTTTATATTGCTAGAAGGAATAATTAAGAAAAGGTGCGCCGATGTGACATTATCGCAAAAAATGTAATATTACCTTTTAGAAGCTATATAAGAGTATGTATTCACCGATCCCTAAATTATCAAAGTCTACACACAACTTTGACTTTATGAACCAACGATACTCTACAAAAATAATGTGCAATGAACGCAAAACAGCTTTAAAAAATTAACGATAACGAGAAATAAAAACACGCCTACACCACAAACAACAAATGAGGAAATCAAACACAACACCACAAAAAGAATAACAAATCAAAAGAGCAATAAAAGACGACGAAATATAATGGGCATCTGTTTGAGTGAATAGCTGGTTAAAAAGCAAAACGCCAACGGCCGCCAGCGACATGATTCGCGAAACACACAAAAAAATATAAGCGGCACACCAACCGAAATAGATCTTGTCCCCCTACAAGTTAAGCACGCCGCCCTGGACGCCAAAGCGAGAGCGTCAGCCGGCGATTGTAGTGGCAGCATTAATGTTCTATTTCTGCCAGCGACGTCAGCCCGATGGGGGGAGACACATTATTGTCGGCCAAATTTTCTATTTTCGAAACGAATGCAATTAGGTTTACTATCAGCGCCATAATCATTGCGACTATCACAACATCGAAGTCACCTAAGAGCGATAGTTTTCCGCAACAACACAAACATACTGAAGCGCCTGGTGTAGAGGGTAGGTTGTGGCAATGCGACAATGTGGCACCAACGTTTTCATTCCAGCGTTTGAAGGCTGATGGGATTCAAGTGTTATATGTTGTTAGTCAGCGTATTGAGAAATTAATTTTCGTTATTTAAGTCACTACTCCTTCATCAACGGCAGTATTTACAATTTCACCATATACATTTATATACATATATGTATGTGCATAAGTATACGGAAAATGGACAGGAGTGGTCCGGCAATGGTCACAATTTTTACCATATACACACAGCCATTTGCATATGTATATAAATATAGTTCTTTTGTCGAGTATTTTTTCCTATTACCTTACTTTTGCAACGCACTCAGCTCCTCCGCTGCACAATCTTTTGTTTTCTTAATCCACTTTTTTGCGTACTGCTACTGGTGGTGTTGCTACGTCGTTTCTTTCACTTTTACCCCACAATTTTGTACTAAAACGTTTTCGATTTACTTTACCCAATCAATTAACTGATTGTTTACTATAAAATTCGTTGATAATATATTAATTTTTATTTAATTTTACATAAAAAACTGTGTAAAATAAATGCTGCTGCAACTTTAGCTTTGCTACTTTTTTTGTTTCTTACTTCGCTTTTATGACTTCCTTTATCGCAGTTTGGATTTACCTATTAATGCGTGTGCGCACTCATACACACACATTTACACACACCCTTTTCGGCATGCAGTGCTGCCAAGTCACGAGTTGTGGTGTGTTTATTTGAGGCATTTTTGCGAAAAATAATTTAGAAACATTAATTATTTTAATAATTAAATGTATATATTAAAACCAGTAAAAACGTTTCGTACAAATATAAAAAATGTTTAATATACAATATGGAAATGTTTTATTGACTGAGTGACCTAAAGTGCACTACGCATAAGCTCCATAATGAAATATAATCATATGAAAGCAAATATTGAGAAATTAATATATAATTGTTTAATCAACTGATGAGGTAGCAGAGAACGTATATCTTATTTTACGTTCTCTGGTTGGACCTTCTCTGTATTTTACGTTCTCTGGAGGTAGTGTATAATGATTACTTATTATTTCTGTTACTTAATAACTTAATGATGAACAATTAAAATAAATAAAACTCATAATGAAATAAATTCAAAAGATGTTTGTAGAGAATGTAAATTTAAATTTTATATCTACATTCTCTACATTCTCTGGCTTGTATATGGGTGGGTATGTTCGGTACTATAGTTTATTTCCATTTCCTTTTCCTTCACATTTTGACAGTGGTCGCTAACGAAATTAAATTCCGTTCTTTGAATTGAAAAATTAGTTTTTAATATACACAGCTTTTTATTGTATTTTTTATAAATTATAGACCACAAATAGTGTGTACAGAGAATCATTTACTAACTTTTTCGTGTTATTTCTTTACATTCGCGTGAGTAAAAGCTGAGTTGAACTGCTTCGTAAGTAATGCTGTTTTCTACAGCTGCGTGACATTAAAGACTCCTTCCCGAGTAAGTTCACGTTCACGGAGCTATGAATGTGTTTGCCATACTGCTCTTAATTCCAGTATTGCATACAACTAAAGATGTGTAAGTACGTAAATAAATAATTTTTATAATATAAATAATACTATAGTTGGAAATTAGTTATGTGCCGGCATTTAGTCTTCCTATTCACAATAAGTATTTGTTTCTTGTCGGAATTGTCACGAGAGCCAGCATAACTTCCAACATCATTTCTCTTAAGAATTATAATATAAAAAAATTACTTATATTAAATATTGAATTTAAAACTTTTTATAATATTTATAAACCGAACTATTTCTATGAAACGTCTATCATCATTCTACTGACGATAATAACAACTACAAGCAACTATAAATGTGCGTATAATGTATGTATGTTCGAACTTGAAATCGCAGACAAGTTTTGTAATTTTCCCAGCCTCCAATAATTCTTCGCGCGAAAAGTCTACTTTGAAATAAAACTTTCTGTGCTAACTTATACATGTATGCTTGTGTGGAACAACTAACAACTCCTCCCCAAAAATTTGCTGATTCCCAACATATGTCCACACTTTAGCTAAATTGTGATTGATGGACATACACCGGTTGGTAACTTTGTGGCCCCACCACTTACGCAAACTGTCGACTGTGCGACGGAGGGTGCAGGATTTTATTATTGGCGTTGATGTGATTTGGACAAATTACAACGGGTCACTTGGTGGTACACATGAGTGTGCCATAAAAGACGCGCAGTTGAAGGGGGTGGTAAAAGTAATGGTAGTGGTGCAGCAGGCGATTAATGTGTTACTTCGTACTGTCAAGTGTCATCGAGTTGCACACAGTGTCGCTATGTAAATATATGTATATATATGTGTGTAAGTGGTATAACTAACGGTGGATTCAGAGTATTGAATAAGAATCTCTTTACGATTTTTCTTTATAAATTTAAAATTTTTTTTTCAACAAACTTCAATGTCCTTATACCCTCAACAGAGTATATACTTTTGTTCGAATGTTTGTAACAGTTAGCTGTCATACAACTTCAGTGATAAACATTAAGTTTTTGTATGGAAAACTTTTTCATTTGCCAACCTTTTACTCACGAAATTTGGCACAGATTATTGTTCAGGGCAGTGCTATAATTACCGAAATATTGTTCAGATCGGACCACTATAGCATATAGCTGTCCTACAAATTGACGTGTGAAGGGTATCATAGCTTCGAAACAGCCAAAGTTAACATTTTTTTTCTTTTTTTCCTGAATTTAAACATTTATTTTTTTCTACACAAACTTCTAACCCGTTCAAAATGTCAAGTGTTGCCATTTGACCGCAAAAACTAATTAAAAATGCTTCAGGCGCAAACATTAACATCCTTTTGGCCACAATTTTTTGTTTTACAATAATTTTTGTCTTCTTAAATACATATGTATAACCTTCTATTAGCAAGTGTATATATGTTTAATTGCAATGGAGTTGAATAGACATGCACCAGTGGGAGATGCTGGTGACGATTTTAATTTAAAAGTTTTGTGTTCCAATTAACAGTTAGAACTTGTGGGAAAGAATGTGTGCAACATGCAGCCTTGGCGATCTGTGCTCGTACTACTTGGGTGACGCTGCGCTGTATATGGTAGATTTGCGCTTATGTAGTATGTGAGAACATATATGTACATACATATGTATGTTGGTACTCGTATATACGATTATCGTAGATTAAACTTGTCTTTAATTAAAAACTGATAATACAAATGCAAATCTTATCGTGTTAACTGCTTTTTATTAAATTAGACGTAAGTGAACTTAATTTTCTATGAATGCTAAACTGAAAGTGCAAGTTAATTGATATTACAAATACTTGGGAGAAAATAAAGGAAAAGATAAGTGCAAAAAATTACAAAAACAAAAAATAAATATATGTAGGTACATATATATGTATATTTGAAGTAGATAAAGCTATAGCCTTGTAGGAATGTGCAAGTGTGTACGTTAATTGCAATTTTGTTATTTGTAAAAAAAAGTATTTTTAAAATTTTCATACATTTTATTATATATGTATATCATAACTTGTTTCAAGATTTTTTTTGCCGCTGGACTTTCACTATTGCAATTTTTAGGTGAAGAAATTAAAAGGTTCGTTGACTTGAGACTCCTAAAATCGAATTATTCATTGAGAATTCGGGCCATAAAATGTATTTTATGTTATTTTGATTTTTAATTAATGAGCAAGAAAGGCCCTGTAGACTTTGCGAGACATGAAA